TATAAAACAGTAAACAGATTATATTAACAGTAACAACTGTTAAAAAAAAAAAAGAGGAGACTATGCCGGAAGTTCCAAGAAGGCAATTTTGTTGAGTCATCACCCATAATAGGGTGAGGATTTCAATGGTTTTTTGAATTATCCATGTTCCTGTAAGTAACCACTGAACTATTAATGCTACTTTAAGCACCCCAATAAACTCACCAGTTCGTGAAGGTAGCTTTGGGTAGAGTGGTTCGCTTGACCAATTGTCACTACTCAATCTGTGGTGAATAGACCTCTGCTCATATCTCTCCAGGAAAGGTGAACTAGCTCCTAAGAAGGCCCTCGGCCTCTAACCTTGCCTTTTCCAACCAACTTCCAACTATTCTCATATTGACCTTCTATAGCAACTTTAATGAGATTTGATTTACAAACCATACAATTCACTCATGTCTAACTACCCCATTTTGATCATTATGTACTTATATGCATATATAGAATTATCACATATAGCCCATAAATATATTCAATTAATTTAAATAAACAAATTAAAAACTGTACCCCCAAATAATATACTTTCACATAGTTTTATAGCTACTACAATGATCTATTTTATAACAATTCATTACAATCAACAAATCTACTCACCACTCCAATGCAACCACAAACTTGTTTTCTATCTCATCCTGAACATACAAATTGAATCATATGTTTTATTGTCCTTCTCTTACTAGATTATTTCATTGTTACAATATTTTCATGATCTACACATGCTGCCATATATACAGTTACTTTTTATTGCCAAAGTATACGGCATTTTATGGATATATTACATTTTATTCATTCACTCATCAGTTGATAGATATTTGGGTATTTCTACATGAGTGTAATATGAATAACACTGACATTAAGGACTACAGTTGTAGCTCAGTGGTAAAGTACTTTCCTAGCATGCATGAGACCCTTGGTTTAATTCACAAAACCATAAAAGTGCCACTATCAATTATCATACAGGTTTTTGTATGAAGTTATGTTTTCATTAATCTTTGATGTATAACTTAGTGTGAAATTATTGAATTATAGAGTAATGCCAATTTTTAACAATTGGAAGAATTGGCAAGCTGATTTGCAAACCAGCTGAATCATCAAACATCACTATGTAGATTCTACTTTCTTAATAAGAACTAGTTATCTTTTTTCTTAATTTTGCTTTAGTGAAGGAAATAGGCTATTCTAATGAAATTCTGATATGTTGTTTTCTCCTGTCTAACGATGTTGAGAATTTTCTCTGGCATTTACTGGTATTTTTAAATACTTTTTGGGAAAATATTTATTTAAATCATTTGCTCACTGTTTTTTTGATAAAACAATAAAGAACTCTTAGAATTTAACAAAACAAAAAAACTGCCCAATTAAAATGAGCAAACTTTTGAACAGACAATTTGCTTAAAGATGATATAAAACTATAAATAAGAACATAAAAGATTTTCATCATCATCAGCTATCAGGAAAATGAAAACCAAAATCAAATATCACAATGATATTTTTTGTAGCTTAGTGGCTGAATTTTCCCTAACATGCACAAGGACTCCACCATCACTAAGTAAGCATAATATCATATCACTGGTCACATATGATTTAATAACTTCAAGTAATTCTCATGTTCACTAAAGCTGAAAACTAGTAAACTATATATCATCTTGGAACCCATCTCCTCTGGTATTAGACCAGTAGATGCTAAACCGAGCTGATGAAAGCTGCTTGACCCTGAGTATTGTAGCTTTTAAAAATGTATTCACACTCTCAGTTATGTCCCAAGTGCTGTTTAAATTTGGAGCCCCATATCCTGTTCTCCTTGGTGACTCCAAATTTTTACCACATTTTTCACGTCTTGCCTGTTTTGTACCTCACTCCCCAAGACTCTTTTTCACTTGGACTTTACACAATCATAATAATTATGACACTGCCAAATACTTGTATAGCACTTACTACACATTGAAATCCTGAATTTTCAAAAAAAAAAAAAAAAAACCTTTGTAGATATGAAGTGAAGGTCACAGATAGATGTTAAAATAGCTTCCCAAATGCCACACAGAGGACTCTAGAATTCTGCTCTTACCATCTAGATTAGTAACTTTTCTTGTCCTTGTGACAAAACATCTAATATAAACAACTTAAAGAAAGATTTATCTCGAGTCATGGTTTCAGTACATCATGATTAGCAGGGAACAGTAGAGCAAGCAGCTCCCAATATAGTGTTCAGGAAGTAGAGTGAGGTAATGCCTATACATTTGGCTCCTTACTCAGAAGGGCAGTATATACGATGTTGCTATCTACATACAGAATAGGTCTTCCTGCCTTAATTTTTCTGGAAATGCCATCACAGACACCCCCAGAGGGGTATTTCACAAATCCCTACCAATGCTTCAGTTCAACTAAAGTGAGAATAAAAATTACCCTTCACATAGCACGCTGAAGGCTCTCATCTCTTATACTGCCACTGCCAATTCTAGTACCACACGTGAATGTAGATCCAGCAGTCACTCCAGTCTCTGATGAGGACGTTCTCTTTTTCTGACTTAAGATTACTACTTTGATGAGAGTTCCCAATGCCATTTCTTCTTGTAGATTTCCACATTTAGCTCATCCTCCCACCTGGCTCTGTAACTTCTCCTCTGCTCAGCCCTCTTCCCATATAGACCATGCTCGGTTTTCTCCTTGCTTCTGTTGTTTCCCCCAAGTTGCTGTTTCTCTCAACTTAATCTGGCTTCCTTTACAATTAAGTATTTTGCAGTTCCGCCAACATTTACTATCTCAATTTCTTCATTTCATTTTCACTACTTAACCCTCTATCTGTTGCTGGTCCAAATGTGTCCCTTCCAAAATATTATATATTGAAGTCTTAACCCCTATTAGCTCAGACTCTGACCTCATTTAGAAACATGGTCAAATTAGAAACAAGAGGAAATCAGTTTTAAATGAGGTTAGTAGGGCAAGCCTCCAATATTACCCAGTATCCTTATAAAAAGGAGAACTTTAGGTGTAGAGCCACATATAAAAAGAAAATGACCCGAAGGTAGAGTGCCCTGGTTGGTTGGTTGTTTTTGTCAACTTGATGCCAGTTAGAGTTATTTGGGAAGAAGAATATCAGTTTAGAAATTGCTTCCATCAGATATAGACAAGTGTGTATGGCATTTTCTTAATGATTAATGAGGGAGGGCCCAGCTCACTGTGGGTTGTACCCCCCTGGGGCACGTGGTCCTAGGTTCTGTAAGAAAATAGGCTGAGCAAGCTATGACAAGTGAGTCAGTAAGCAGCACCCCTCCATGGGCTCTACTTCAGATCCTGCATCCAGGTTCCTACCTTGAGTTCCTGCCCTGACTTCCTTTGATGATACAATCTGATGTGGAACTGTAAACTGAAATAAACCCTTTACTCCTCAAGTTTATTTGGTCGTGGTCTTTATTAAAGCCATAGAAACCTAAAACAGAAATTGATATCAGGCTCATGAGGTATTGCTCTAACAGACCTGATCATACTATTTTTTCATGAGGATTTGCTCTGACAGACCTGATCATACTGAGGATTGTGGAAGGACTTTCAAACCTGATCTAGGAAAGCCATTGAGTGCTCAAAGCCTAATGGGCTTTCGGGAGCTTGAAAGATAAAAATGCTGAAAGAGACGCAGATGATAAAAGACTGGCCTGTGCAGTTTCAGAAGGTAACAAAGACTCTAGCAGGGCTCTTTGTGTGATGTTTTGTATTACAGATCATTGATTCTGGTCAGCTGGAGCTGAAGAATCATATGTGGTTAACAAGAGACTAGCACTACTAAAGTGAAACCTTCACTTTACTGAGACAAATGACGCTGATTCCCCGGGGCTGAGAAATAAGCTATGGTTACAACGAGACTAGCGGCATTTAGGAGAAATCATCTGGGAGTATTTCCTCAGGATCAAAACACAGAAGCTGTGGTCCAGGGTGACCAAGGCTGTATCTCATGCCGGCAGCCAAAACTGGTAATGTGCAAGAGTCAGGTGACACTGTTTTTGAAGACCCGAAGAGGTAATGGAGAGCAGCTGAGGGCTGGCAGTATGTGGCAAGGATGGGAGTCCCTGAAGAGAGGACAGGAGAGGCCACTGGTAAAGATTCATCCTCAGTTGCAGTGGAGACTCCACAATTTGGAGATACCAGTGCTATGGGATGACCACCAAGGACAGCAGCAGACAAGTTTATTATGCTGTAAAAGACAGAGATGGATAAGGGGAACTGCACAGGCCTTTGGAGCCCAAAAGATTGCGATCCTATCCTAGACCTCAAGCACTGAACTGTTCACAGTGTTGTGTTTTGGTTTGGTTTTGGTCTGTTTGTGACTGTACCCTTGTTCTTCCCTTTTGGAGTAAGAAGATATGTAACTTACATTTTATTTTATTTTATAGGAGCCCACAGTTGAGCAATTTTAGACTTTTAGGTAGGTAGGTGGTCCTGGATGGTATAAGAAATCAAGCTGAGAAAGCCATGATAAGCAAGACAGTAATCAGTGTTCCTCCATGGTCTTTGCATCACTTCCTGCCTCTTATATTCCTGCTCTGATTTTCCTTGGAAAGGGATTGTGACCTGAGAGATCTAAGATGAAATACACCCCTTTATTCCTAGGTTGCTTGTGATCATAGTGTTCAGCACAACAATAGAAAAACTAAGGCAAAAGCAAGGAAAAGATGGCTATCTATAATCCAAAATAAGACTGAGGTCTGGAAAAAAAAATGCCTTCCCTCACAGCCATTAAAAAAAGAGGCAATCTTTCCCAGTCCCTCCTTAGTGTAGACCTCTAGTCTCTAGCAACTTGAGACAATAAAATATCTATTGTTCATATCATTCAGTTTGTGATATTTCCTTGGGTTACTCCTAGAAACTTAGTACAACTTCCACATGACAAAAATTAGTAAATAATTTGGATTCAGGCATGTCTAACCCATGGCCCATAGGCTAGAATCCTCCCAAAATACATTTTGCCTGGAAAAAAATAGGGTAGCTCAAAAGGAAACAGTTTCTAAGAGCTCAGGAACCAGGTGTTTGATGTGGTGGTTTGAATGCAAATGAGAATGGGCCCCATAGACTCATATATTTGAATACTTGGTCCCCAGTTGGTGGAACTATTTGGGAAGATTAGGAGGTATGGCCTTGTTGGAGGAGGCAAGTCACCTGAACTGGCTTTAAGGTTTTAAAAGCCTTTGCTGTACCCAGTTAGCTCTCTCTCTCTCCCTCTCTCTCTCTCCAACTTGCAGATAAGGATGTAAACTCTCAGCTACTGGTTCCTCAGAACCAAGCCTGCCTCTCAGCACTGGAGAAGCAGAAGTAGAGAGTTTGAAGCCAACTTGGTTTACATGCAAGTTCCAGGCCAGCCACGGTTACATAGTGAGAATCTCTCTCTCAAAAAAAAAAAAAAAAATCAGAAATAATACCTTGGAATGCATCTAACCAAAGAAGTAAAAAAACAAAACAAAAAAACCTCTATATTAAAAACTTTATAACTAAAGGAAGAATTAAAGAAAGATACTATGAAATGAAAATGCCTCCCACAGTTATGGACTGGAAAAATAAGTATTGTGAAAATTGTTACAGTACTCAAGGCAAACTACAGATAAAATGCAATCCCCATATAATTCCAATGTTGTTCTTCACAAAACTAATAAATTATCTTAAACTTCATGTGGAAGCACACACACAAAATGCCAACAAGAATAGCTAAAGCAATCCTGAGCAAAAAGAACAATCCTTGGTTCCATGTTAAACTGCCCAGGGAGAGTTAGAAAATATCATAGAGCTGGCATAAAGCAGAAACACAAATCAGCAGAATAGAGAACCCAGATATAAGCCCATGTATCAAGAGCCATCAAATACCCAGATACCTGACAATAATTTCAAAAATATGCATTTTAGAAAAGCCTCTTCAAAAATGTTGCTAGTAGAACTGGACAGTCACATATAGAAGAAGAAAATTATAGCCCTGTCATGTCTCCCTCAGTACAAAAAGCAATCTCAAATTAACCTAAAATCTAAACCTGAACTGCTGAAATTGTTAGTTGGAATAGTATGAAAAACATCTAAAGGCACAGGTGTATGAAAGGACTTTCTAAAATTAGATTACATTTGCTCAGTAAATAATACCAACAATTGGCAAATAAGACCTCATGAAATTCCCAAACACTGCACAGAAAGGAAACAGTTAAATGAGTAATATGACAGGGTATAGGATGGAAGAAAATCTCTATTAGTTGGGTATCTGACAAGACTGATGTCTAGAATACAAAAAGAACTAAAAAAAGAACTAGACCACAAGAAATCCAACAATTCAATTAATAAATTAACTAATGAACAGTTCTCAACAAATGAAGTATAAATGGCTAATAAACAAATAGAAACTGTTCAAACTCACTAGTCATCAAAGAACTACAAATTAAAACTACAGTGAGATTCTATCTCATCCCAGTAACAAAAGCAGTCATTAAGAAAACATAAAAAGAGGCCGGGTGGTGGTGGCGCAAGCCTTTAATCCCAGCACTTGGGAGGCAGAGCCAGGCGAATCTCTGTGAGTTCAAGGCCAGCCTGGGCTACAGAGTGAGTTCCAGGAAAGGTGCAAAACTACACAGAGAAACCCTGTCTCAAAACACCAAAAAAAAAAGAAAGAAAGAAAAGAAAAAAGAAAAAGAAAACATAAAAAGAACCAAAGAACAAGGCAGTGGTGGCACACACCTTTAACCCCAGCACCCGTGATGCAGAGACAGGAGGATCTTTGTGAGTTCGAGGCCAGACTGGTCTACAGAGCGAGTTCCAGGACAGCTAGGGCTGTTACACAGAGAAACCCTGCCTTAACAAAAAAAAAAAAAAAGAAAAAGAAAAAGAAAAGAGAAGAAAACAGAAAAAGAAAGAACCCTTACGCACTTCTGGTTAAAAAGTAAACTATTCTAGTTATTATGGAAATCAGCATGGGGGGTCTTCAAGAAAAACTCTCCTGGGTATTTACGGAAACAATTCCAAGTAAACACATCACAAGCATCCTTGCATATAAATATTTTATTACAGATTTATTCTCAGTAGCTAAGTTATGGAAATGACCTGTATGTCCAACAGAGGGTAAGATAAGGAAAATGTGGTTTACAAAAACAAAGAATCCTTTTCTGCCATAAAGAAGAACAAGGTTATACCATTTGCAGAAAAAATGCATAAAACTGGAGATAATCATATTAATCAAATAAAGCCAGAAATGCAAATATTTATCATTTTTCATCCATATATCATTCTTAGATTTGTATAGAGATATAAAAATTAGATTTGTATGACCTGAAAGTGTAAGTAAAGGGAAGGATAAAGAAAGAGGAGAGTAAGGGAGGGAATATGGGGGGAAATGAGCTCAATGTACATTATATATTTACACAAAATTGTCTTTACAAAATACTGTGCCATATGTAATGTATATATACAATAAGAAATTGAAAAAATAATGAAAAATAAATTTTAAAAGAAAAAACTTATAAAGACAACTAGAGAATATCCTAAAATGAATGAAAAAAAAACACCAAAACTGATGAGATGTTATAGACACATTTATAGCTCTAGAAGAAAGATAAAGGGATGGTTCAGGTATGGTTTGACTATTACCTAACACTTCATGTGTTGAAACTGACTTCATATTGTAAAGTAGTAAAATGGTACAGATTTGATCCAGCTACATTGGGGAAGTTACTAGGGTAGAACACTGGAAAATGAATCCTCTGGTTTTATGAGGAGACTAGACAGGCATACACACGTACATTTTCTGTCTCATCATGTGATGGTTCTTATTGTATCAAAATTCAAGGTCATTGCTAAATGAGGTTCTCAGACCTTCTACTTGTAGAATTGTGAGCCAAATAAACCCCTCTAATTTATGAAGTAGACTGTCTCTGGTATGTCCTTATAGTAATCAAGAGTTACATATTAGTACATAAACAACCTAACTTACACTGTAAGGAACTTGGAAAGTTACAAAGTAAATCATGTTGTACACAAGATATTTTCAACTGAAATACAGGAACTGCTTGAAATACAAACGAAAAACCTGCCTTAGAACTCCCATTGACCAGTTAATTCCCTCTAGCTTTCATTGGGCTACACTCCCAAACTAAGAACGTAAGGTGTTTAAAGCAACAAACCAGAAGACTAAAGTAGAAGGACTGAAAAGCCTTTGTCCCTTCACTTAAGTGTTCCAACTCACCAGGCTCAGCAGCCTGTGGCCAGCCAGTACTAGATTCTAGAACTCCATGGGCATGTACAGAATATGGTCGACTGGCATTGTTCTTGAACACCACAGTTAAGATATCACCAACCTCTCCTCTGATAAGTGGACCTGATACATACAAAAGAAGTACAAGTTTCATTAGTAGGGGATTAAGAGGGAGACATTAAAGAACAAGGCATAACTGCAAGATCCATGGAACTGAAAATTAACCTTCCCAAGACTGGCATCATTTTCAGATTCAGAAGTCCTAAAATTGGCATTACAGCATGAGGGTATCCCAAAAACAGAAATATGCTTCCTATTATCCCCACTTTCCTCATCCTATTTTTCTCTACAAAACAACCAAAAGCTCGAGAGATTCTGAGTTTTGCAGAATCATCGATATTAAGGACTAAAATCTTGCCATACACAGCACAGAATTGCTGTACTCTCTTCAGAGGCCAGTGGGTCCTGTCTGGTGTAGGATAAGAATAAAGAAACCCTTTGTACAAAACCAGCATATAGCCTTGATGAAATTGAGGTATGGGGAGAATTGTGGCTCTGTGTATCATTTTTGTTTTTACTTGCTGGAGTTTCTAAACTCTCCTGCCTCTGAAATCTTTTAAAATCTACTACCTTTAGAGGACCCATGTCTCAAAAGTATAGAAAATCGGAACATTTTGGTTCATGTTACAGCAGACTTCATGTTTATATCGTTCCATTCAGTGCTTATTTTCATAGCCACATTACAAAATAGGGCCATACTTTTAATATTCCACATGGAAAAGCTGAGAATGAGGGATGGGAAAGCCTCCCTGATACGATGTAGCTATCCTAGAAGCAACCCATCCTTCTAGATGCCAGGATGTAAGTAGAATTCTCTTACCCAGGATTCCCAAGTGCTCCTCTGGTCCAGACCTTGGCTGAGGAGTCGTGAAAGTACCATCAGTGTATTCCCTGAATACAGCTTTCTTATATTTGGAACCCAGGAGCCCATCCTTGTTGCTCAGGAAAACATGACCATAACTAGAAGAATTCAAAGACTGTAATTAGCACCTGACCTTCAGCCTTTATTTTCAGTTATGGGGAAATTAATTTAGAACTATTCTCATGTCAAATATGAAAAAATGTAGATCTATCCATTATAATGTCAAATTGTATTACCATGATTAAAAAGAGTAGGTTTCTGAAGCAACGTTTGTTATTTTCCGTCATCCAGATAGATATTTGCAGTATGATTAACTGAGCTAAGAATCAAAAGCCTGTGGCTTTGGTTCCAGCCTTAATAGAGTCTTAGATTTGGAATTATTTTAACAAAAGTATAAGGCACCAAGTGTCAGCTGAGCATCCATAGTTGCTGTTGGAGATCAAAAGTGGGAAGACATGGGCTCTTACAGCTTTCTCATTATAGGATACTTGACAGTTGATAGTGTTTATCACTCCTCTTAACAGTGAACATTCCAAATAGGTGAGTCTCAGAGGTACAATCACTAGCGCAGAATTGACAGGACTGTGTACAGAGACACTGTCACCCAGAAGGGGCAGCAGGACTGAGAGTTAAGTCCACTGTTCCTACCCTGTCTTCTTCTCTAGTAATGTTTTTTCAGGTATGCATGATAGATGAAATCAGGGCTGACAGAAAAAAATCCCATTTCCTAACTCCCACAGAAAGTCCACATGAAAACTTCACCCTAAACTTATAAACTTCAACCTAAACTTATAAAGGTCTTGACAAAGAACAGTGAAAGCACCACAAACTACAGAAAACTACAATTGAGCTACAAAAAATACTTTGTAGCTCAATTTGTATTCTCTCCTCCCTCCTTTTAAATAGAACCACCTAGGTTTTATTGGGACACATGGATGTTCACACAGATGTTACATTGTAGCCAGATGAATAAGCTTAGGAAACAGAACAGGAGAAAAAAAAATGATATATACAACTTACAGGTCTATCCTTACAGGCAATGTTGCTTACCCTAACTTGAAAGCTAGGGATAGCCACAACTAAAATAAGCATCTTGGTCCCAGCGATGAAAGTAGGAGATTTCGGGCAGCATAGTTCACCTGCCAGACCTGAACTGTTCATATGTAAATAACAGATAAAATTGTAGCCCATTTGAACTACTCTCTTTTGGACTTTTTCTGATTCCAAGCTTGGTCTGTACCTCAGGAAAGGATCTTGAGGCATTTCATTGCTTGAGTAAGCCCCTATGAACTTTAAATCCCACTGTAGGTAAGATTTAGCTAATTAGAAGGGAAGCAAGGCTAAGAGGGCAAGAATGTAGAAGGTCTTTTTCTTCCGCTCAGTAGCTAATGAATATAGAAGAAACAAGGGCTGGACTTCAACATCCTTCCACTCTAGTCTCATTTCTTTTGGCATCATATTAGGTGGTTACAACCACGCCTTCCTACTTTTAGTTTCAGTCTCTTCACCTGTGAAAGGATTCGCTAAAGCTGTGGTCTCTCCCTTTCTGAAGCCTTACCTGTCTTTCTCAGATGTGTTATGCCATTCCAGTTCCCAGCTTCTATCAGGGCAATAATCCCATTCCAACTCTTCTGCCATGATGTAATAGACTCTAGAAGCTTGGTAGTGTTGACGTGGGCTGTCTTGACGACCGGAACACTGGGAGACATTGTAAATTGCCCTCATCCCTGCTTCCCTGTGGCTGCCTGCTTGGCAATAGATTTCGAATGTCCCTAAAAGATAATCAGAGAGTAAAAATCAGAGTGAGAACACCCATTAGAAGCATGTGGGGATTTCTTCCCTTCTCCTAGCTATACTTCAGAGGAAAGATAGTCTAAGAAAAAGCTCTTCTATACATTAAAGTGCATGACAAGTTTGTTGAGACTAATGAGCACAGAAGAGATCCAGTTCCAAAGCCACTGGGTTAAAAATTAAAGTTTTCCAAGAGAATAAGGAACTCCTCTGTTCTTAGATAGTGGGTGACCCTATTTGTTACTTATTAGCTATCTAAGCTTATATGGGTTTCCAATTCTCTGTATGTTTCAGTTATCCCTTCAGTAAATTGAGAATCATTTTTCTTACTTCATTTGGCTGTTTTACAAATAGACATTATACGGCTCGTAAGACTGCTTAGCAAGTCAAGGTATTTTCCCCAGGAGTCTGGCAATCTGAGCTCAATCCTTGAACCCACAGTGGAAGTAGAAAACCCACTTCTAAAAGTTGTACTCTGATTTTCATATGTGTATCATACCATACACACAACCACACTCACCTGTACATATCATATACAAATACATAGCAAATAGTAATTAATCCAGGAAGAAATACAGTATATCACTATGCCTAATAAGTGTTCAGTAAGTGAAATTTTAAGTAAACAGTAAACAATACAGCTCAATAATTATTTGGTAGAAATATTGACCTCTTTTTTTCCTGTGAAATAGTCCCCAAACCTAAAAACCTACTAACAACAACAAACAAACCATATGAAGTTAAATAGACATTTAAAAGAAACTGTCTGACCATATGAATGCTTACATGATAGATCTTTTCCTTTTTCTTCCCTTTTTTTGAGACAGGGTTTCCCTATGCAACCCTGTGTAACCCTAGCTGTCCTAGAACTCACTCTGTAAACCAGGCTGGCCTCAAACTCAGAGATCCACCTGCCTCTGACTCCTAAGTACTGGGATCAAAGGTGTGTGCCACCACGCCCAGCTTACGTGATAGGTCTTTTAAAGGTGCCATTTAGGTCAGATTATGCTAATCAAATGGAGCTAACTATCTTAGATTTTTTTTTTCCCCGAGACAGACTTTCTCTGTGTAGCTTTGCTCCTTTCCTGGGACTCACTTGGTAGACCAGGCTGGCCTCGAACTCACAGAGATCCACCTGGCTCTGCCTCCCGAGTGCTGGGATTAAAGGCATACGCCACCACTGCCAGGCAGATTTGTTATTTTCATTGTTCCCTTACCTTGCTGCCTACTGCCTAGCCTACCACTACCAAATATTTCATCAATTGCAAAGCCTCTTATGAACTGTCCCTAAACTATTGATCCAGCTCAATTTTGTACACTAAATTGTTTTGTCAACTAAATCTGTTTCTGACTACTTTCTTGCATATCTCATTCCTATCTTGCATTTTTCACTCATGCTGTTATTCCTTTCTAAAATTTCTGCTCTTCCGAGTCTCACACTCTATGCGAGCCCACTCCTTTTCCGAGACCCAATTCAGTTCATCTCCTTCAGAAACCCCTCCCTGATGGTGTGGGTCCCAATTGACACTATACTCTTGGCCTTTCCATTATTGTGCGTTCCGTACTTAAATGGCATGGTAAAAGACTTAAATGTTCGGTATTTAAAATTATTGCCTTACATTATTTGATAGACAACTTGAAAGAAGGAGTCTTCTCATTTCTTTCCATATCTACTTCTGCAGTCTTCTATTTCTATCATTCTCTGTATCTATTCTACCAGTAAATCTTATCACCTCTTCCTTAAAAATCACTCTGTCACTCCATTCTTAGGGAGCTCGACCTCTTGGTGCAAACTCGGCTTAGCCTTTTCACACCAGCCCTCTCAGTCTTCCCTTCGAGTCAATCTCTATTCATTTGTATCACCCACTGACCCACAGAAGCCCTCTTTTCCAGTGATCCCACAGCCCACTTGTCTAGGACACAGACAGGGCAACAGCAACCACAAACTAAAACACCCACCTATCAGAGAGAAGACCAGATATTCACTCCAAGAATCATCTCAAACATCATGATTCTAGATGTGTCAATCCCAGTGCAAAATTAGAACATGAGGCTGGGCGGTGATGGGCCACGCCTTTAATCCCAGCACTTGGGAGGCAGAGGTAGGTGGATCTCTGTGAGTTCGAGGCCAGCCTGGTCTACAGAGTGAGATCCAGGACAGCCAGGGCTACACAGGAAAATTCTGTCTCAGAAAAAAAAAATTGCAAGGGGAACAGCCAGGAAAATATGCCTCCAGCAGAATCCAGCTACCTTACTGCAGAAGGCCCCACAGAATATAATATAGCCGAAGCACAAGTCAAGGACTTCAAAATAGCAATTGTGAATATGTTCAAGGACATTAAAGAGGATGTGAATGAATCATTTAATGAAGCCCATGGGGGAAAAAGAGTTGAAGGAAATAATGAAAGCAATACAAGAAATGGTAGTGGAACTTAACAAAATGGAACAATTAAAGGAAACCCAAACTGAAATAAAAACCGGAACTGGAAAATGTAGGATGACACACAGAAACCTCAAAAGACTCATGAATAGATTACATGACACAGAAGAGACTCTATAACCTTATATCACATAAACCATCCCTTAGCTTACCGCACTTCAATGCTTGCTTTCTCTCTCTATCTCTATCTTTTTAGATAGAGTCACCTTACATAGCCAAGGCTGGCCTTGAACTTACTATATAACAGAAGTTGGGCTCAAATTTGCCATCTTTCTGTCTCCATCTCTACAGTTCTGGGAATACATGCATGCATCACCATGATTAGCCATACCGACCTTTACTGACGCTTGAACAAGCTCATGTTTGTTTTCATTTTAGGGTATTTACAATCACTTAGCACTCTCTGCTCAGAAATCCTAACATTGTTCCTTTTCATATCATTTAGGGTTCAGCTTATGTGTCAGATTTTTTCAGAGAGTATTTCTCTTGGACACATTTCTTTAATTAAAATAACATCATCATGATTTTATCATATCACTGCCTTTTGTTTTCTAACCTGTATCAGTATCTCAATTTATTTATGTATATAATCAATCATAAGTTCAAAGAGAGTCTGGGATACATAGCAAATTTCAACACAGCTGTATCGCAAGATCATGTCTCAAAACACAAAAGTGTACATACACAAAAGATTGTTATGCATCTTATTTACTTCACTATCACAATCTTAACAGTAAAAAGTATTCAATTCATAGGGGTTTAATGCCTAAATGTATCAGCAAATGGAATGGTTTATGCACACGGCCCCAAAGCCAGGCCAGGAAGGTGGTGTAGGAGGTCTTGGCACTTGCTGCCAAGGCTGACAACCTGAGTTTGCTTTTGGACCTCATGTGACAGAAGGAGAAAACCAACTCCACAAGTTGTCATCTTACCTCCATGCAAGTTCTGTGGCATGCAGATCCCCAAAAATTAATTCATTCAATTAAAAAATTGAAAAACAATTGTTACACTAAGGGTCAGAAACTAGCACTAAAAAAAAGTCTGATAACCGCTTGATGCTATGAAAACAAGTAGAAAGCATTCTGGAAGAGTTATAAGATGTTGCATAACTCTTATCATTCCTACCTTTTAAGCCACTTCTTTTTCAACACTCTTCTGTTGCAGGTTCTCAGTAGTGAGCGTCACAATCTTAACTTATTGTTGCAACTAAAATATCACCACATTTATAAACATCTTTTGTCATACCATGTCAAGTAAGGAAACAAATCATTGGAGCCAACATTCTCTAACCAACGTTTTGCTTCTTGATGTCTACAGTGATTTTTTCACCTCTGTCTCATTTCATTGTATGACAATAGCTACTAGTCATTAAAATGTCTGCTTTCCTAGGAAACCTTCACTATATAAGTCAGGAAAACTTTGTCACAGTTTCCTCTGTGCCATAGTTCTTGGCAGATAATGTCATCATGAACTTGGTAATGTCTACATGCTTAACCCTTTTCCCAACTATCTTTAAACTGCCTGATTCTTCCTGATTCATCTTTACATCCCCAGCAAATAAGGCAGGAAGTGGAAGAAAACGGATATTAACTGAAAAAGCTTAATAGAAAATACAAAATAAAGAGTGGGGGTGTTAAAAAGAGGAAAAAGATAGAGGGGAGAGAATCTATAGAATGGAAGAAGACAAATGGAAGGAAAGTAGGAAGAATGCAAATGGAACAAACATAAAGATAAACAGTAAATAAAAATAGGCTGGTGATAGAGCTCACTTGCCAAGTCCACGATCTGAGCTGGATTGCCGTGATACACATGGTGCAAGGAAAGAATCAACTCTCACAAATTGTCTTCTGACCTCCACAGGCATACATGAGTATACACACACACACAGAGAGAGAGAGAGAGAGAGAGAGACAGAGACAGAGACAGAGACAGAGACAGAGACAGAGAGACAGAGAAAGACAGAGAGATATAGAGACAGAGAGATATAGAGACAGAGAGACAGACAGAATAGATACAGTATTTCAAAACTCACTAAAGAAAAAGAAGTGAAGAAAAGAAAAACTCAAGAAATAGAAAGAAGCAAAGAAAATGGATAGGAAGAATGTAAAGGAAAACTAGAGCAAAACTCCAGCCAGGAAGCAGGTGGGGTAACTGGAGATCTGCACTGCTCCCTCCTCTCCTCCAAATCCAATATGTTAGTCTCATGTCCAGCTCTGTAGCAGACCACCTGTTGTAGCCTCTCCTCACTCTCTGTCGTTCCCAGAAGATTTAAGTAGATCCTTGTGGAAAACCTTGCTTTCCTTCCTCTTGTAAACCCCCCTCAGATCCCCATCCTTCTAACCCATTCCTAAGTGTCAGCTCCCAATAACTAGAAATATTTTACCCAGAACCCCCAGGAGCCACACCTAGCAGGATCCCAAAAGAATTCTCTACCAGGCAATACACAGCCACCACATCCTCCTAAGAACCACAGAGGGAAACAGAAACCAAGAAACAAAATACCCACCCAACAAACACAGGACCAGATATCAGCACCTAGAA